TCGGCCGGCGACGGTATTCCTTTATTATAATCGCGGAGCAAATACGAGCGGGGGCCCGGTCCCGCGACGAGACACACGATGAGAGGGAGCGAGGGAGGGAGGCAGAGCTGCCGACGGTCCCAAATGGGCCCGTACAAGGGGCCGCGCGTACGCGTCCTCCGGGTGCCCCGATATGGTCGTTGCGTGGAGCCTCGGAGACCCATTCTCCTCGCTCGACTTTTTGCACGGTCGATGGGGCCCCGAAACGCCGATACCCCTAAACGAGCGAAACAATGAAAGAGCTTGTCGGCGAGGAGACGGTTCGTGAATGAGAGGGCCATCCCAAACCTGTCCTGCCCACATGGGGCCAGACACTCTCCGGGGCCCGCGGACCCTCGCGGCGCGACAACGCGATTCCCGAGCTCGAACTGGATCGAAGCCCTCGGAGGAGCCGAAGGGTGGACCCAGGCCGCTTCCGCGGCTGTGATTCGCCCGACGAGCCGAGGCGGACATAAACAAAATATTCGCGGGCCGGGCACGGCGATTGGCTGGCCCATTTGGTTATCGTAATACTTCGCCTATCCAAAATGTCGGATTTTCGACGGCAACGCTTGTCGACTGGACATTTTTGAAACTAGTGCTTATCTGTGTTATTGTTCGCGCGTTGGTGATCGTGTTACCATGCGCTTCAAATATTTCGAAATTACGCCGGTACTAGCGTTAAGTTAGCGAAGTTTAGTAAAGTGTTAAGTTAGCTGTAATCGTCGGTGAGGTATCGAACACTTTTGATCGCGTCTATCGCTGACAGTGAGCTTCTTGGGACGGCCTATAGTTCCGTTGCGCGGTGAAGGACTCGCGCGACCTGGGCCGGGGTCGGGCCCAGAATGCAACGGTAGGTTGGGAGCAGAACACAATCGACAGTGGTACGGGCGAGTTCGTTTCACAGAAGCGTCGCGAAAGTGTTTTCACGGAACGCATAAAGCCGCGACGTGATCCGTAAAGGATGCCGTGCGATGTCAGTGACCGAAACCGTCGCCGAGTCCCGCTTAGATTCCCGCAGCACCATTATCGGCTGGGCCCGCAATAAAATACGTTATCGTGACGCTCTTTCGTCGGGGAAATGATGAAACCCGCGCGAACCGTGTGCGCGACGGTCATTTGGTACGGCGTGAAGTGTCTAACTCAGACAGTATCCCCTTTTGGAATTTAACGCTGAAACTACTTAACAGATGGGTTGAAATGATCTCTTCTAATTCTTTCTATTACTGTTATTGTAAAGATGCAGCTGATTTTCTAAGAAACTATGATATACATTGCTTTGGTCCTCCGTGTATTCAAGGTCGTCGATCTATTAGTATCATATCCTATAATATAGAGACATAGAGTATAATGCTAATAGATCGACGGCTTTGACAATTTTCACAGCTATAAAATCGAAGCGAACGAAAAGGCAAATTCGATCTCGTGTAACGGTTAACCTTGGGATAACCATCGGATGACCTTCAGGTATCCTTCAGCGGAGTCGTCCTTGTAGGATCGTAATTCCTCTTATGGGGGAAATTTGCATGCCTGCTAGACTACAGTAGAGTTCCAGTGCATTAATGGAAATGTTAGGACAGCGAATGATCTATATCTACTATACAGGGTGATTCAAGGGTGGTGACAACTATTGGACCTAGCAACACCTTCCCCACTTCTAAGATCTTACAAACTCGGTGCTCTTCGAGTCATTGATTCACTCCAACATTTGTTTCTAATCGCACAGAAGAAAGGGCTGCGACTTGAAACAGTTGCACGAATCATTCTGTATACCGAGTGTCCTGATTGAAACCAGCCACTGAAACACCTCTATCCTCAGTAATAACAGTGCGGTTCAAGGATTGATACTTCATTGCGAAATAATCGCGTGTAGCAATATCATAAACAATCGTACAATGAATGTACTTGTAGAGGCGAATATAAACACACACGTGTGTGCGTGTATACATAGACATACGAATACGTATGCACCCACGTACACCGACGAACACGCACGTACACGCGCACACAAACACACAGAACGCGGAATCATTATAGGTTACGTTTCAAACATCTGCTCCTCAATAAAACTCCACGTCGTGAAGCCGGTCCGGGTAGTGTCGTTCGTGTTCGAACAGCCGCGCCTCGATTCTTCTTGACTCTCTCTACTCCGAACCCTCCCTCCCTCCCATCTGCCTCGCGTTCCTAACGTACGATACTCCTCTTTCTCTCCCTCTGACCCTCCCGTACGTCCTTCCCTCTCTTGCACCCCGTTCACAAGATACAGGGTAAGTCCTGGATAGTTCGACTGCATTTTCATGCAGTTTCGAGCCCATTCAAACTAATCTTGTAACCTAATTACGGTTTCGCAATATTTCTCGATACGGAATGTACAATGGACTGATATATTTGTCCTACTTAAACGAGGTTAGAGTCACGCTTCAATTTGTTTTCAAGTTACTGTAAAGTTCCCCGCCCACGTTGAAACATGTCGCGATGTACGCGCACTCCTAGGTTTTCATTTAGGTCTTAGCGATGACCAATTACATTTGCATTCGTTCCGAGTTCGACATCTGCAGGAACACAGGCTACATTGGAACGTGTATGATACCGGAGGATCGATCCACGCAACACGCTTCAATGTGTGCAGAGAGCTTAACCCGAAGGCAAATTGATGTTGACGCAGGCTTGACTAAACCTAGCACGCGAAGCCTGCATCGCAACATGTTTGGTCGTGCGAAGGGGGCTTAACGCGAACACAAATTGACGCAGCCTCGCTGAACCTAGGAGTCGACGGCTGCATCGCAACACGTCCGAGCGCGTGTAGGGTGCTTAAAGGGAAGAGAGTCGAGGATTCTCGGACACCCTGTATTTAGCATATTTCGATTTGCCCGAGATACACCGTGGAAAAGAGAAAGATAGAAAAAGAGAGAAAGAGATAGCACAGCCCCGTCTACCTCGTCGACGTCCGGTGTGTGCCACGTGTGGCATGCTGCCTTTCAGACACGAACGGGCCGGGATCGAGCCACATTCCGCGGTGGAGGAGCCGGCCAAGGATGAAAGAAGAGGAAGAAGGAGCCGGCAGCAAGCCGAGGGGATGTAATGCGCCTCGCAGGCCGCGGCGAAGAGGAAGAGACCGGGCACCGGGGGCTCTTCTCGCCGACTGCCGCCTGTGCTCCTCCACTTTCCTTTCCTTTCCTTCCCACCCGAACACCGAGGGGGGAGCACCGGGGGGAAGGGCGGGCGGGAGGCAAAGACAGAGCGACGATGCCCGCGGAGTAGGAGTACGAACGGCAGGAGGAGGAGGAAGCAAGGATACAGCGACGGAAAAAGGAAGAAGAGGAGAAGGACGAAGGGGAAGAAACGAAGAAGAAGAAGAAGCAGAAGAAGAAGAACAGGAAGGTTAAACCCGTACGGGAGAAGGTTGGGGGTGGCGACCTAAGAAGGTCAGAACATCGTATTTCTTGCGGACCCGGCGAGAGTCAGCGCGCCGCGTCATTAAAAAGAAAACTTGTGGGGAGCGCGCCTCTCGCGAGGAGCCGGCCGAAACTCCGCGAAAAATCCGCCTCGAGTCATCGTCCTCTAGTTCGCTCTCTCTTCCTCTCGCTATCTATACCCCTTTATACATAGTTCCAACATGTCTGGGGGATTAAAAGTGCAAACACGTAGACAGAGAATGTTATCCTCTTTTCTTACTTTTCCCGTTACCGAAGTCTCGGTAAGACTTTCGGGTGACAGCATTCTTCTATAGGAACTTCATCCTAGAGTATCGTTTTGGCTTTATCAGGATATCAATGACGCATTGATAACGATCGTTATTATCATTCGTATGTCTTTGTCCCCCCTGATGAAGTCAGTTTCAGCAAAACGGGACAAACTTCCAGCGGGACAAGACTCTCGAGGCACTGAAAACATTAAATCTGTCTTTTCCGTTACCGTTCGCCCCGCGGAATTATTACTCTGCGTCCGCTCGCCGCGGCGCGTCTGGGGGTTGTCCTTGCTCGAAGGTAGCCTCCTCGGTGATTGTTTCACCTGTTCGGTCCCCGGGTAACGCGCCGCGCCGCGCCGCGCCGCGCCGGTCTCGCAACGATCCTGCGCCACGGCAACCGACTCGCCTCGCGATCGAACCTCGTCCGGCCGCGCCGGGATAGATCCTCGCCGCTGATCGAGAAAGTCGTAAGTCAGCGGGAGAAGTTGCTTCTTTTCGTTGCGATCTCTCCCCTTCCCCGCCCCGCTCCCTGCCCCCCTCCCGCGGTCCATCGTGTAGCCGAGGGCACCTGTGTTACCCGAGGTATAACCCGACCATTACCGGGGAATGTTGCCCGAGGGCTAACCCTGGCCCTCGTGTAACCAACCATCGGGGCCCATGGGGTCCATCTTATCCCACTAGAGATTCCCTCCAGTCACGGACGGACCGAGATCTCGCGTCGCTCCGTCTCTCTTTCTCTCTCTCTGCCCGTCTGCCTCTCATTCTCTCGAGTTTTGTTGACCGCCACGCCCAGGAACGAGAGCCTAGGTTCTTGCTATTGGGCAGTAAATAAGTTCAGCTGCGAGTACGATCTAGTTCCGAGGAG